GTCCTCCTGACTTCAGGGCTGGTGCTCTATCCACTGCGCCACCTAGCTGCCCCTCTGTTTTTTTTTAATCAGGTACTACTTGTGTTTTATCAACTTAGTGGTTTAATATTTTTTATCATTTTATTTTCAGAATTTTTATTTTTATGTTTAGTTGAGTTTTTTAAATTTGTTGTTTCTATTTTTTTTATTTGTATAGCCAGTTCATTAACCTGTTCTTTCTCTTTTGTGGTGAAAATCTGTAGAGATATTAATTTTCCCTTACCAAGTACTTTGACTACATCCCAAATGCTGTCAATAATGATATCTTGTCTGACTGTAATTTTCTTTAATGAAATTATTGTTTATGTGATTTATTATTTGAACAACAAAATTCTTGAGAATTAAATTAATTTAGTCTCCAAGTTTACATTTTTCTTCAAATATTCCTTATTAAATATAGTTTATATGTTATGAACAATAAAGATTCTGTTTAATGTTTCTGCTTTCTTGTGTTTGAGTTTTTTATGTCCCAGTGCATTATTAGTTTTTGTATGTGTGCTGTGTTCAGGCAATTATCTGTCCTATCCTCTCATTTCCAACCTTTGTAAAATCTCTCATATGTATCCCCTCCTCTCCTTTGCCTTGGCTACCACCTTACTATAAGCCTTCATCTTCTCATGCCTGGACTATTGCACTAGCTTGCTAGTTAGTCTTCCTGCTTCAAGTTTCTCCACATTCTAATCTATCTTCCATTCAGCTGTCAAACCAATCCTCTAGGATCGATAGAAAATTCTCTGTTTGACTTTAAAAGTTCTTTGCAACTTGGCACCTTCCTATTTTTCCAGTCTTCTAATACCTTACTGCCTTCTACGTACTCTGTGATCCATTACCTGTCTGGGCATTTTGTTGTATGACACCCCCAACCCCGCCAAGTGGTCTGGGATGCTCTTCCTCTTCATCTCTGCCTCCTGGCTTCCCTGGTTTCCTTCAAGTAAAATCCCCTCTTCTATAGGAAGCCTTTTGCTCCTTAATAATCTTTGTGCTGAACTTCTGAGACTACCTTCAAGTTATCTTGTCTGTATTTTGTTTGTACTTAATTACTTGCACATTGTCATTCCCATTAAACTGAGCTTCTGTAAAGGAAAAAGTATTTTTGCCTCTTTGTATCTCTAGTGCTTAGCACAGTGCCTGACATGTAGTAGGCTCAAAAAATGCTAGAGGACTGCTTTTCTGTTCCCCTCTCTCTTATTTAAATACTTTCCTGGCTTTTAATGGATGATCAAAATTTTTACTTTTAGTGCTTCCCAATATAATGTTTCCAGATGGTTAACATTTAAGTACACATCCCCACCCCCAGGTTTCCATATTTTTTCCATACGTCTGTTTTCATTTAAGCATACTTTCAGATTTCTAGACATTTCTGAGTAGTCCATGTTATATATTTATAATTTTTAAAGAATAATTTGAAATAAAAAGATTTTAGAAATAATTAATTGAATTCATTTATTTTATCACATTTTATTGATTACATCATGAAAAGCACAATGTTAAGCAGTAATACAATAAGTACTGCATACTATAGAGTATATTAGAGTAGGAATCATTGATGTTTATATAAATTAACAGAATATTTGAAAACAAAGACATTATATTTTATGTTTCCTTCAAGATAAGCTGCTCAGTATTAGGAACTTTACAGGATATATATGGTTTTGTAGATGTAATAAATCAATTTCAGTGATCTTTTAGTGGCTTATTCCAGATTTTAAAGTTTTTATCCTTGAGATTTTTTTTTTAATGGAGGCAGGAAAAAACAGACACTTAAGGAATGGAAAGCAATTTGACTTGTAATGTCTTGGTCTCAAAGATATGTTTTAATGCACTTTTATTATAAGAATAGTACTTATTAATTTAATTTCAGAAGAAACAAAGTATGAGCCGCTTAGATTAAGACTGATGGTTCAGTAGATAGGATCATAGGATTTAGAGCTGGAGGAAATCTCAGAGATCACCTACTATAATCTTTTCACGTAATACCTGAGGGACCTTTGAAGCCCAGAAAGGACAAATAACTCATTTGTCACCAACTAAAAAAATTTAGCCCAAATCTCTACTTCAGGAACAACTTGTATACAAATTTGCTTCACTTTGGTTGCTAAGAATTTGTATTTGGGGATAGAAATCAACATGAAGGTTCGTCTTTGGGTTTTTTTGGTTTGTTTTTGTATAATAGTAAAATAGAGTCTCTATTAAAGACAGGAACTGATAATAAGAAATCCTTCCTTGCATATGTCACCTACAAATTCTTTGGGAAAGAAGTTTGTGTTTTTTTCCTGTTGTAAAAGAGATTCTACAAGGTTGTTAAGTTTTGACTATACTGAATGTGATGGATTCTGGATCAGTTACCTGCCAATTTGGAATCTTATATCCTGACCGCTAAAGCAACAGAAAAATTGATAAACAGACTCTGGTTTTTAAAATATTTTTTTAAAAAATTATTTATTTTTTTGAATAGATTCTAAGTAGAGAAAATGGAATTGGTTCCCTTAGACTTCACAAGAGACGTTTGGTCCACATGGAGACTGGATTCCAGCGGCAACAGAGACAGGATAAAAGTGGTCAAAATGAGCCTGAAAAGCATGAAGTTGATAGATAAGGAGAGAGAATAGTCTGTTTTTATCAGTCTCATATGGCATTGAATCTCACTGACAGAATTTGGGGTATCTCTTCTGGCCAAGGTACAGTGTTTTCCAGGACAGCAAAGTTTAGGCTCTAACCTGAGTGCTCTAAAATAAGGTCTACTATTTTACAGTGACTTAAAGCTTGCAAAACACCACACATTTGATCGTCACAACAACCCTGTGAAGGTGATACTGTTATTATCCACATTTTACAAATGAGGAAACTGAGTTTGAGAGAGGTTAATTGATTTGTGGGTCACACAGCTAGTAAATGTCTGAGATAGGATTTGAACTCAGGTCTTAGTGACTCCAAATCCAGCACTCTCTTTCCTATGCTACCTAGCTGTCCTACCTGATAATTAGAATTTTTGTTCTTTAAGAAACTTTATAAAAAGTTTACAGATAGAATAATTATCATATCAGTTTGTTTCTGTGACAGTTTTCAGTTTTTCAGACTTAATCAGAGTTGACTTCACTCACTGAAGTTAGACAGTGTATTAGAGGTGCCTTTGGCCTCCTTGCTTGATGAAAAACGATGAAACTACCTTATGATTCTTGTTAGTATACATTGTCTTGGAGGTAGGAGAACTCATTTAAAGAAAAATTTAGTTGTGCTTTTATCTTCAGTGGATCTGTTTCTTTTTAACTTTATAATATGTTTCCTCATTCCTAGTTTAACATAAAACTAACTTAGGGGAAACTTTGCTTTTTTGGGAGAGGATGACTAAAAATTTTAATCTTGGTAAGGCGACATGTGTTGGGAATATGTTTTGATTAATTTTTTTTTGTATTTTGATGACTGTTTTTTAGTCTGAAGGCAGTTGCTTTCCATTTCAGAGCTCCTTTCTTCATTCCTTCTTTTGCTGTCCCCATCCCATCCAGTCTGGGAGTGGAGGGGCTTCTCACAGGCCATTGCCACATCCTGATCAACATGAGCTTTTGACCTGCTTCAATTTCAACCAGGGCTAATGAAATCCTTCTGAGGCAACTCGAGAGGCTGTGGAAGCTCACCATGGTGATGCTAACCTTAGAGTGGATACCCTCAGAGCTCCTGAGCTTAGAATAACCACCACTTTTTTGTAGCTATTTTGAGCTATTTTGTAGAACTAGAGCTTTCTGAAGTACAGAGACCTCTGTCTTTCTGGTATTTAGTGATACCTAAGTTGACATCACTGATCTTACACATTGCACATATATTCTTACACTTAAAATATCTTGTTTAAAAGACCAACCAGGGGCAGCTAGGTGGCGCAGTTGGGGCAGCTAGGTGGCGCAGTGGATAGAGCACCGGCCCTGAGGTCAGGAGTACCTGAGTTCAAATCCGGCCTCAGACCAAACATTTGACACGTACTAGCTGTGTGACCCTGGGCAAGTCACTTAACCCCAATAGCCTTAAAAAAGAAAAAGACCAACCAATTAATTTACTTTATGTTGAAGGGCAGCAAAAGTTTGTTTTGTGAAACCTCTACTGCACAGATATTGATGCAAAACTGTTTCCCTTTTCTTTTGGACTTTTGAGATGGCTTTCTTTTCAGACCCAAAGTTTTCAGGATGATTCCACTCAGAATTTTTATACTATTACTAACATTTATATTCGTTCTCGTTCTCTCTCTCTCTGTGTCTCTCTCTCTCTCTCTCTCTCTGTGTATGTATATATATATATACATATTATATATATATATGTATGTATGTATGTATGTATGTGTATATATATATAAACTATGTATTATATACTAACATTATATACCATTTACTATGTGTCAGGCACTGTGCTAAGCACTTTACAATTATTATCTCATGTGATCCTCACCACAGCCTTGGGAGGTAGGTACTGTTATTATCCCAATTTTACATTTTAGGATACTGAGGCAGGCAGAGGTTAAGTGACTTCCTCAGGACCACACATAGCTAGTTAAGTATCTGAGCCTGGATTTGAACTCAGTTCTTCTGATTCCAGGCTCAGCTGTCTATTCACTGTGCTACTTAGCTGCCTAATTAAAGATTTTTGAAAATTATTCTTGTGATAAACCAGATGTTTCCCTTAATACATGCATGTTTAATGATAATACTTCAGATTTCCTTACTAAGCTGTATTTTGCAATTAAGTACTCTATGCTGTTAGGTCAGTAACATGTAAGTAGCTCCAGAAGAAAATTACTGTACTTGCTGTTAAATCACAAATGATAGAGATAACTTTCTGAAACTACCCTTAAAACTCTTGTAGCTGCTGGAGTTTGTGAAAGATAAAGTATCTCTCACTTTTCAGCAGAATGATTTTCTGGAGTATCTTTAAATCATATTGCTTTTTATACCATGTCTCTGTTTTTTCTTTTCTTTCAGATGACAGAGAAAAAGGGGAAAGAAGTAAATGCAGGGTTTGGTGGACCAGTTGTTAGTTCTTTGTATCAAGAAGAAACTATCAGGTAAATTTCTCCTGTGGGTTTCAGGCTACCAGTGAGGTTAAATATCTATATATCTATATGTATAGATATTTATAGCTATGTAGACATATAGATGCATGTGTGTGTGTGTGTGTGTGTGTGTGTGTGTGTAAATAAAATTTATGAAGCATTTTCTCTTTACAGCAGACTAATTTGGTGACACCTCTAACAGGATAATAAATGGCAAGAAAGAACTTTTTAGGTCCATTATCTTTTAAATCAATAAGTGTCTGTATCACTGACATATACTAACCTTTCTCACCATGGGAAGTGGGCAGGGCAGGATTTTCTGTCTCAGTTGACAAAACCTGAAACTGTAGATTTTTGAAAAATTGATACTTATTTTTCCTTCTCTATACCATTGTTTCTTTAAAGGATTCAGTTTTCTTAGTTCATTGACTAGGCACTTGCATCCATTTTCTCTAGGATGAATTAGAACTAACCTTACATTAGTGAATAAAGCTGTATGATCCACCTATTTTAAATGTAAGCTATCCTGAAATGCAAGTTATTTGGGAAATACCATTAATGCTTTGGCTTTTAAAACAAAAATGAGATATAATGAAGTTAATGAAAGTGATTGAGACACTGTTTCTGGTTCCCTTAGTACAATGCGTGGCACTTAGTAAATGCTTAATAAATGCTTCTTAATATGACTACTACTTACCTTTGATTTGGTTTGTGACAAAATCTGAAAAGTTTGAAAATTGGTTTCACAGGAATTTGTTGTGAGCAACTTCTTATAGATTTGCATGTAGTATGGATTAAAATTCCATTTTCTGCATTTTGGGTACAAGTTTGCCAGGAAAAAAAATTCATTAAATTAAATTGATCTAATCACCTTCTGCTTAGAAAGAAAGAATGCAGGACAGAAGTCCTGCCTTTGAAAACCTCTCACAAAAGTCATTTTGGAGCTATAATTTATGATTTTCTGTGATAATAGACAAAATTCCACAGTCCAGATTAAGCAAATGTTCAGAGCTGAGGCAACAGTCTTAGTACAATAGTAACTTAAAATGTTAGAGCACTCTAGAGAATCATTTTCCTGAAACAGTTCATTCTTTTTTCAAGCACCTCTTCTAAGAATGCTTCTGTCAGGTAAAATCTGGAGAGATTTCACTTTACTGAAGTAATCCAGAACATTTCCCTACCCTCAGTCTGTTCCTGGCTTGATGGGACTGGCTTGAGTGGTGGGGCTGAGGTCTCACCCTTTTCTGGTCACTGCCTACTTTTCCCCTCCCTGAACTTTTACTTTGTTTTCTCAAAGAAGGTTGGTTATGTTTTTGGCAAAAGAAAAGGTAATTTTGTGCAGGACGTCGTTTCAGAATTGTTAATTAAAGAAAGATAAATAAATATAGATATATAATATATAAACAATATAAATAAATAAATAAACATTTATGTAAATATATCAATAAAGACTCATAAATCTTTCTGACCCAAAGGGGAGTCAGGACTCTTAACTTAAATGCATGGCCTAAAAAGAGGCATGTACTTCTACAAGAGCCAAGGGAAGTTAGAAGAAAACCAAGAACTAGACCACCTCTTATAAATGGCTTTGGGTATTCCTAGTTCTTATTCACAGAATTTATTCAACAGCTGCTTCTGAAGCACATCTTTAAGTGTTTACTTAATTTACTACTTAGCATGTGAGAATGTGAATAAAGCAGGGCTATTTCTTCATTTGTACAGGTCACTTGTCCAACTTCCAGGGAGGCCCGGCTCATAGTCACCAAGGGAGTCGACAGCAGAAGGGGATTCAAACTCAGATTTTCCAACTGCAGATCTAATACTCTTTTATTACATCAGCTGCTTGTACAAATGAGTAAATAGCCCTGCTTTATTCACATTCTCACATGCTAATTCCAAATCAGGGTGATAATATGGCTTGTGGTAACCTGCCTGACAAGATTGTAGGAAAGAAATTGCTTTGTAAATTGTGAAGAGCTCTGTAAGTATGAACTGGTACTAGTATAGCAGTTTAATGAAACTTTGATACAAATAACGGTCATGCAAATAAAACAGGGTAACAGCTGGAGAAAGGTTAGAAAGTGCTATGGGAGAACCAGGAAGGGAGGTAATGTATTTCTTGCTTGGGTGGTGAAGGAAAGGTAAGGATCACAAAAAGCTTTATGAAAGAGGTGGCATTTGAATTGGCCTTGGATGATGGGTAATATTTTGGTGGACGAAGATGAGAAATGCATTCTGGGTATAGGATGTGGTAAGAGTAAATATAGGGAAGAGGGAAAGATGAGTTCAAAAGTAATACATATTAACAGTAACATGGAGTTTTTGAGGGGGAGAATTAGGAGATACGGTTGGGTATGCCTTTTGATGAGAAAAAGAAGGGAACATGCATTTATATAGCATCTACTGTGTTCCAGGCACTGTGGTAAGTGAGTTTTTACAAATAGTCTCTCATTTGATCTTTACAACAACCTGTGAGATAGGCACTATTATTATCCCCATTTTACAGTTGAGGAATTTGAGACAGAAGTTAAGTGACTTGCCCAGAATCACACAGCTGTTAAGTGTCTGAGGTCAAATTTGAACTCAGGTCTTTCCAACTCCTAGTTGGTTTATCTAGTGCTTTATCCTCTGTGCCACCAGCTGCCTCTAAGAAAGCTGCCTGATAAGAAAGATGTCAGTTCTAATAGTTATGTGTTAGCTGCTATTTCAGGTTAACTATCTTCTGAACATTAGGAAAGAATGTATTAAAGTGGTTGTTGTTGTTCAGTTGTGTCCGACTCTTCATGACCTCGTTTGGGATTTTCTTGGCAAAGGTACTAGAGTGTTTTGCCATTTCTTTCTCCAGTGGATTCAGGCCAACAGTGGGTAAGTGACTTGCCCACAGTTACACAGCTAGTGAGTTTTGTGGTCACATTTGAACTCAGCTCTTCCTAATTCTCAGACCCAGCACTCTATCCACTGAGCCATCTAGCTGCCTCCATGAAAGGGTTAGTAGGGTCTTTTCTTTTTACTTGTGTTTAGGGAATAAAGTCATGGCAGAGGGTAGAATCCATCAAAATAATTCTTGCCATCAAGGTATGTTGTGAGGACAAGTAATGGTTGTAAAGTGCTCTAAGACCCATGACAGAAGGTAGTATTGATTTGCTAGAGACATCACCACCTCAAATGTTCATGTGGACTATTTGTGCCTGACCTGTGGTAGAGCCTTCTGAGTTGTATTGGTCTGCTCAGCCACAATTGGACATCCTGTACCTTAGAATTTATCTCCTTGTGATTTAGAAAATGTTGTTAGATCATTAATTTTTATTTGATATTCTTAGTAACTAGCATATTCAATGTATTTTTCTGCATTGAGGAATTCTGCCATCTGTAGATAGCTATAAATAGAGCAAGGTAACCAGAGCTGTGGCTTAATCTCCGTGACCTTGTGGTCTTAGTACAGTGGCTTGCACATAGTAGGTATTCAAATGGCTTGTTGATTTGATGTGGGCCTATTCAGTTAATCAGTCAGCAAGTATTTACTACCATGTGATGCAGCTGTGGAGCACCTTTCCCCTGCCAGGCCCCAGGTTGCTAATCCCAGTGTCCCATCACCCTGACACCCGTCTCTAACTCTCTACCCCCTCCCCTTTTCCTTACCATTATGACTTAAGTAATTTAATACAAGGTATGTTGGGAGGGAAAGCAGTAGCAGTTAGGGGGATCAGGAAAGGCTTTGTGCAGAAGAGAATGCTTGAGTTGAGGCATAAAGGAAAAGAGGGATTTAATGAGGGAGAGGTGAGGAGGGAGGAATTCATTCCAAGTACATGGGACTACCAGAGTAAAGGAATGAGGATGAGAGATTGAATAAAAGTTTGACTGGATAGCTCAGTGGGAGAAGGAGAATAGTGTCCAATGAGGGTTGAAAGATAGGTGAGGGCCAGGTTGTAAAGGGCTTTAAAAGCTACGCAAGGGAGATTATATTTGATCCTAGCAGTAATAGGTAAGCTGCTGGAATTAAGTAGGGGAGGGTCATGGTCAGATCTGCCCTTAAGAAAACTACCTTTGCATCACTGTGTAGAATGGGCTATAGTAATCAGGAGATTTTTGCAATAACCTAGAGAGGTGTTGAGGGCCTGAACTAATCACTAAGTTTGTAGCTGTTTGTAGTAAGAGAAGTGGTGTGATGTGAGATTGTTATAGGTATAGAAACTTCAAGATTTGACTCCTGATTGAATATGGGTGGGGAGGGTGAAGAGTGAGGACCTCAGGGTAATAACAGGGTTATGAATCTGAGAGTTTGGAAGTATGGGCATGCATTTGACAGAAACAGACATTTTGAAAAAGGGAGAGTTTTGGGGAAAAGGTAATGAATTCTGTTTTAACCTGTTAAGTTTGAACATGTCTTTGGGATATCTCCTTTGAAATGTCCAATAGGCAACTAATCAGTAGTGTTTATCCAGCAGAATAATACACTGAAATGTAGCTTCTTTTGGATTACACAGTAGAATAGCTGATCACTTGTTCTGCCCATTGCTTTGGCTCACATATTAAAATAATTAAATTAAATAGTGAGGCATTGTGCTGTATATAGTTAGTGGAAATATCATTCGACATCAAGTGAGAAAATCATTCTGGTTTTACCAACTTTTGAATCCGTGTACAAGTACTTCAGTTTCCTCATTAGTAATGTGAGGATTAAAATCCTTGCACTACTACCTGACAGGATTGTTGTGAGAACCAAATGATAATGTATATAAAGGGCTTTGTTTCCACAAAGTGCTGTATAAGTGTATATTATTACTTTAGTTGTTACTGTTTTTTCACAATGAGTATTTGTGCTTCTCAGTCTTCATTTTCTTCACAGTGCACATGAAACTTTTGCTGTTTACATGTAGGTGCATCTAAGAAATGACCTTAGCTGATTTAGTGAAAATTAAAGATAAGCTCTGGAGAAAAATAGTTAATAAAGGCTTTGACTTTAACCTACTTAAGATTTATTTTGAATCACATGGTTATGATATAAAACCTAA